ATATATATATATATATAACATATATATACAGGCACGTATACATGTATATGTACCTGGTGTGTATAATATTTTTATTATATATAGATATTTAGTATCTCAACTCCAGAACTACAAAAACCAGTAAGCTGGCATTTTTTTATGTCTTTAGTCGTGTACAAACCTTGAAAATAGAAATTCAGATTATTCTATGCCCTGACTCTTGAACTCTGATTCAGTTCAGGCAAATTTTTGATGTATAGATCGCGACAATTCAAAAGCAGAGCTACAAAAAGTTTGGAGCTGGAATTTGACGTATTTACCTCCGAAAATGTACAGTTAACTCTCGTCTTCTATGTCCCGATGGAAGGGTCGCGCAGGTTTTCAACTCATGACTTAGTTTCTTGCTAGAACAGCTCTAGTATGCAGACCTTCGCCTTAGTTTAAGCTGCATCTTGTCAGTCGAAAGCGAGACAAAAACCGTCATGGAGGGACAAAAAGATGTACTTTTGTCCCATTCGCCCGTTATGAGGCCGCATTAGCATATCGCTGAAATACATCTCCGAGCCACCATTCGCTCTATCTCTGCTTTGTATTTTGGGAAGATTTTTTTTTGCTTGCTGCTAAATACAATTTTATGAAATATAGATATAGCTTTAGAACCGGGCGATAAAAAAATTCCATTTTTAGGCCCACATTTAACAATATAAGGCAGTATTTATCACAAAAATGCGTGACTGCGTCTACTGCTTGCTATGCGCGTATTTATTCCAGAAATTAATTTCCAATTAGTTATGATTTTTTCGCATTTCTACTTCCCTCTGCTAGTGATAGAACGTATGAAACACCCTTTCTGTATTCACTCGCCTTGAAAACAGAGGCATTCAGAACTATTCCGAAGATAGCAGACGCAAAGAATAACCAAGCCTCGCAAGTCTTCTTTTTAAAAGGCTGCCTAGACGCAAGCTACAGGCAAACTGCGGGGTTTGATAATGGTTGGAAGCATGTATTTTCATACTGTTACTGCGGTTACTCAGTTGCTGAAGCCCAAGTAGCAGAGCGTACCTGAACTGCCGTTGTGGTGGTTGTTGTTTTACAGTTTAGCAATATGCACTCATGTTGGCAATTTTTTTGGTGTTTTGCTGCATGCAGTGAAAGAAAGGCGTCAACTGTTGGCTGTGTCGCATCGCGGGGTTGCGCAAAACCTCAGTCTCCACTATATATGATTATCGTAAACTTTGCATGTAGCTTTTGCCGAAAAATGCACCCTCAAGTTCGCTGTATCCGTATGCAAGGCATATTTGCAGATGCTAGTTTTACGTTTCTAATGACCTACAAGATACGCTAGCATTCTTGCAAAATTTCTGCTTTTTTGGCTATCTGATTACCGAGAGAGAAGGATGGTGAAAATGATGCGATTTTAACACTTTCAACGTCTATTTATGGGGCACATGCTTAAGTAGAAATTCATTTTACGTTTACAAGCTCGCCCATGGCATGAACAGTAAGCAGCTACACAAAATTGCGACTTCATGCTGAGCACTGGTTGTAGAGTCAGGGTAATCAAAACTGGAATTTTGCTTCTACATAACGCGGAATTTAACTGTGCCTCGAAGATGAATTTAAAAGCTTTAACTCGCACATAATTCACACAGTATCCTTTTAAAATTTCAATTTCCTAGCTTGCCCGGTTGCTGAGTTGAAAGTGAGTGAAAAAGTCCACTGACCTCCGAACACACACACACACACACACACACACACACACACTCAAGCAAATATCTTTTTGACAATATGTGTTTTTGCAGTTGTATAAATATGCACAAAAGCATAAAAATACACCCAGGTTGGAATGCATCAGGCTTGCTGGTGCCATCGTGCGTTTTTGCACCAAACTTGAATTAATCTGGTCGTCAACTGCATGAATGTTTGTTATTTTAAACTTACTTTGTGCGCTCACTAGCGTAAATCATCGTAAAAGTTGCATAAAGGAAAATCAGCAATATTTTTTTGTTAACGTTTGTTCCTTGAAAATGACCCAGCTGTTAAAGGAGCAGTTTTTTTACCAAAACTTTTAAGTGCCCGTATGTGAGAACAATGAATACCTGCAGGCTGAATCTGAAATCTTTAAGTTGCACTAGCACAGAAAACATTCTCCGAAAATTTCAGCTTTCCAGTTTTTCTGCTTCCCAAGTTTGAAATTTCCTCACCAAGGGTTCCACATGCCCGTTCGTGAGTACCACTCGTACCTGGGAGCTGCATTTGAAATTGTTGCACGTAGACAGGGAAGATCCCCTCAAAATTTCTGCTTTCCAGCTTTTCTGAGTTAACAATTTTCGGGTTAACAATTTTCTGAGTTACCGAGTTAACAATTTTCCTGCCAAATCTTTCACGTATCTGTACTTAAGAGCCAAGAATACCCACGGGCTGAATTTGAAATCTTTAGCTCGTACATGCACAGAAAATATCCCTGCAAATTTTCAATTCTCTATCTTGTCTGGCTCCCAGTACCTTTTCTTTCTAGATTTTGGTATGTTTTATTTCTCTCCTACTTTGCTCCTATTCGCTCGAATATTGCCTGTTTTTTAAAACATTTATCGTTTTAAATAGAATGTTTGTTTCTGAAGCGCTGTAACACTTCAAAACTGACAGAAGTGATGTGCTGGCTCCACATTGTCTCTTTCATGAATTTTTGCACCTTCTGGCTCATTTTTTCACAATTCCGCTTTTCCGCTGTTTTAGCGCTAATCCAGTGCAAGAAATGGGCGCTTGTTTTTTGGACGTATACTGATTTTTGTAAATTTTAGTTTGCGATTTTCCTGTTGCTATGATGTGGATGGCGCCTCCTTCTATTGCCTTGCAGATACACATTTAACGTCTATGAAATCGAAATCACTTTTTTTATTTTTTTGAGTGCATTAATATGGAATACGATTCTCATTTTCTGTGAATCATGAACTGTTTTACAGGAAAAGCATCGTTTTTGGTAACCGAGTGGCGACCTGAAACGAAATTTCGCATTGGCAATTGCATCGCCGTTGCTGCAGCCGCCGGCGCAGCTGCATTCTGTAGCGGCCGGTCGGTCTGGCGTCTATTCGCATATGGTCGCTTCGTCGTCCACAACACCTTCGCCGGTCTTGTGTCCGCGACCGCAAAATGCTGTTACTCCAGGTTGTGCTTACTTTGTCTGCTTTAAGATGGTGACGTACACGTGAAGCAGCATGACAAGCGCACCTGAATTTAAAAGCATCGGATTTTTTTTCGGGTTGATTTTCTAAAATTGCAATTCGTTTTCATCTCCTACATGCAACAAGTTGCGACCGTGCTTGAAGGTTTGGTTGAAACTAATGTAGGAAAGGCCAGCCTTTTCCTGGTTTTTGAGTAATCGTCTGGCAGATAAAGCTTTCCAGACACTTGTGGGCTGTTGATAACAGGGCTTTTATCCGGGTCGCGAACAACTATTCCTGTTTCTTGAAGACCGAAGTTACGGGTGAGGGAAAGGACGGGCGTGGGACTGATGCGTCCGAGCTCTGTTTCTGCCTTGTATGTGCTTTATATTTCGCAGGTGACTTTCGGCACGGACGGGTTTCCTTTAAAGATTGGAATGCGTTTTAATCAATTGCTTTTTTGTCCGTCACAAATGTGTTGGTTGGTTATGAACAATGGCAACTTGAAAAAGAGTTATTTACAATGTGCCGTCTGGATGCGCCGGCGCACAATAAGGTAGCTGCTCCTATTCCTGCTGAAAAGATAAGCGTGCTTCTCTACAAAACCCTTTTGCAGTCCTTTTTTTTTTCAAAAATAGGTAGTATTTTGATACTGTTATATTTTATGCCCACGTCCAATTACACTTTATCCGTAGTGCGTCGGTAAATTTTAAAAAAAAAAAAAGTATTTTTGAAAATATCTTTTCAAAAACCTATCAGAAATTCTCATCTACCCATTCATTAAAATTTTTCGAAAGTGGCGAACAGTCCTAGCATATTATCGCTGTCTTCTGGCTCCAGTTCATGAAGAAAGTAGTTTTGTCGTGGACAAGACAACATCTTTCTCAAATACAAAATCAAAACAAAATTGTCGTTTACATCCTTTCGAGTGCCACCAACGAATACGTGACGTCCATCGACTCTCCAGCAAGGCGAGCAGTATGTACTGCCTATCGATATATATACACATGTATGTTGTGGTACTGTGCTTTCGATTTTTGCGAAAAAAACCGTAAAAAATGGATGACGTGAAAAATGTCGCTACATGAAGGTGTTTAAGGAGGTTTTCTGGAGGCTTCTCGCTCCTGTAATGATTTATTCTGCGTAGACAAAACATCAAGCCGTTGGCAGTCATTACCAGTAAATAATCTAGCTAATTTTTTTAAGAAATTTTTTGTTCTTTCATTTCTTAATTGCAATTTTATCGCTCGTACTGATTTTATTGGATATGGCATTGTTAGTAAAACAATGTGGAATCTGGGCAGTGTGGAAAGATGGTTGGATTGCATTTCGGCGGGATTTAGCAGGCCAGAAAGATTTCTCACTGTATTTTGTTTAACCTCAATTGAACAAAAAAAAAGAAAAAACTGAATAAATTGGTGACAGTTGATAAAAACAAACCATTTTGTCCAAAATTGTTTCTTGAACCGTGACCAGGCAGATCAGTTCCCAAAAAGTTCCTCGAAGATTAGCGATCGACATCTGACAGCTGCGTCACATAAAGTTTCGCGCGAGTCCAGGTGGTTGTGACAGTGCGTGGAATTTGCATTCCAGTATCTGAAATCTTTGGTGCCTTCAGCTGACTCAAAGTAAGGCGCTCACACTTGTCACTGGGGACCCGGGGATTTCTGTTTGGAAAGACTCTATAGCTATAAGGGTGCAGAAAGCAGATGAAAAGCATAAGCTGCGCTAAAAAAAATAAAAAATTAGCTTCACAAAAGCGAGATTCAACGGCGAAATTGATGGCTCAAAACCAAAAAAAAAAAACCAGTGGATTAGCTAGCTTTCACGGTTCTGCTGCACGAGATGCATTAAAATAGTGCGATATGAAAAGAGAACGGGAATGTGTTGGTTTTTGAGAAGCTTTAACTAACATCTGGTAGATTCGGGCCGAAAGTGCTGATTTGCGCACCACAACACACTTATTTTCTTTGTCTATTTGTTCGCACAGTAAGTTGCTGCGGATTTTCTAAACTTCAGTTTCCGATCGGCGTGAAATTCCTGAAGTTGGTGAAATGGATCCGTACGTTGTTCTGCCACTGAGTCGCAAATTTTACGTTTGTACCCAAGTGTAGTTAATAGGTTTATTTGTGGTGAATGTCGTTTTTTTTTAGATCATTATCCAATGGCACCGCTTGGGCCAAACGCTGGTCCCCCTCCTTCAGGTGGCGCAGGTATGGTATATCGTGGACAGCTTATAAATCATGCTGCGCAAATGGGTATTCCTCCACACATGTTGGCAGACGGGTAAGTTTAAGCTGCATAATTCTTGGAACAAAATGTAGGGAAAGCAGTGGCGTGCAAGTCTAGGTCGCCGGAAAATGTCCTGGCAGGGTCATTTTACACCCATTGATTTCCAGTTAAAATGATGATTTTTTTTTGTTTTGGACGGATCACTCTATTAAAAAATTATTATGATATAAACTGTGGGAAAATTTTTAGGGACAATAAATGTTTTTGTACTAAAAAGACTGGAAAAAAATATGGAAGTGGTAAGCCAGGAACATGAAACTTGAAGGTTTGAGGAAATGCGAGTGAAGGACCTGAAATTAACCTGCAGCCCCCGCTATGAACTCTACTGTCAAAAATTCCGCTTTTTCGGCTTCTTTTTAGTTTTTTGAACAAGTTTAACAGAAAACATATAAAGGGGGAGTCGCCATGCTTCGCTACGCCACTGCCACTGTTTTTGAATATTACTGGGATTTTAAGGTGTTTGCTTTACAAAACAAACTGGGGGCTAAAATACTATGAGAAAAGCTAGGAAATCGAATGATAAGGTGGGGTGGAGGGAAGTCAAGGAAACGCTTCATAGAAAGTGAACCGCGGAATTTTACAGCTAGTATTCGCAAGGCGTCGGCTGGTATTTGCAAATAATTAGCCGGGGAGCTTTTTTCAAAAGTCCGATGTGTCATGTTAAATTGATCGGCTGACATCAGCTATTATTAGATGCGCATGTGGAAGGGAAAGAGGATTAGATGAAAGATTAAAAGTGCGCATGTCGGCCAGGTTGTGGCATGAAATTACTTCTGATGCGTCGCATAATTGTTTGGAACTCGAAATCTGTTCAGGAAAAGATAATAAACTGGACCCGGAATTACCATTCACCAGGGATTACAGGATAAGTCGCCGAAGCTCAGTGGTCATTTAGGTGAAGTGGGAAAGTCGTTTTTTCGGATTTTTTACCTATCACGCTTTACTTTTTTTTTACTCTGAAAAAATATTCAGTCCAGACATGTAGCAAATATGTTATCCGCTCCTTGACGTCCCTCAATCTCAGCAGTTTTTTTTCTTTCTCACTTTCTTCACTGTCGTTACAATAGCTGCTTCTCTTCCAGAGGATCTTTTAGTTTTTTTTTCTTTTTTCGCTACTGCTATATCCACTGTAATTCTTCCCGTTCCTTCCCGATGGTCACGTGTCTCGCTAATTCATGGATTTTCTCTTGCTTCGCACCTAAGCGGGCCTAATTATGCGTTTTTGCCGTGCAGCGCTAGAGCGCTGCAACAGGCAGCAAAAACGCATATTGGAA